GTGTGTGTGTGTGTGTGTAGGGGGCAGAGTGCACGGTGTAGTAATGATAATAGATAGCATTTGTATAGCACAAATCCACGCTCAACAGCAAGCTCTATGCGCTTCACAATCTGTACTATTACCCCAGCAGACCTGAGAACGTTCTGAAACAACCTCAACTTCCTGGGAAGTATACAATGCAAGCAGCCATTTATAGGCGCTAAAACACTAATATATTGACAAGATCTTTCGCTGTCTATGGCCGGGTACCCATTCCCACCTGGGTGAAGTGAGGAAAATTCGTGTAAAGTGTCTTTCCCAAGGACACAATGTCGGGCCCGCGGATCGAACCCCAGAACCCGTTGTAGTATAATCTCCACGTGTCGTGTTGCGTAACGTCACTTGCCTGGCCCGCTATCTCTAGGCTTGTAGGTCAACAGGGCCCAGCGGAAATACATTTACTATTGTGTCATCGTGGGCGAATCAGACTTTCGTCGAAGTGATTCAGTCGAAGAAACTGACTTTTTTCCGTCAGTAGAGCAATTTTAAAGAAATTAATCAATGAATATTTGGGGGGGGGGGGTTCCTTTTGATTCAACACCTTTTATTTCCACTTCAAAACATATTTCTGTGAGCATTTTACTGAAACACGTCAGTCAAATATATACAACTACAACAGAATTGTAAATTTGCCGTTTCCAATGACACTCAAGTTTTGGAACTTACCAAAGTTTGGCAGCTATTTTCTCAGTAATTTTACCTGTGAAACCAGATGACCCCCACCCCATTCAATGGCTAATATCTCTACTTCTTTTCAATCCAAGATGCGTGATAGGTATTTTATGTTTCACCAAAAGCGAGACAAATAAACAAGTTTGAAGTAAGTAGATTCTAATAACTCCATTGATATGCCCAGAAATTGACGATCGCCTGGTTTCACGTTGTCGTGACACATACTGTTGTAGTGGTGGCTGATTACATCACTTCACTTCACATCGCTACTAGTCAGTTCACATCCGTTGATGTTACGTAGTGGCTGTCTCACCGTGTCTTATCTGTTCCTCCTGCTACATACTAGGATAGTTCCCCTCCTGGGTGGTTTTTGTCGTGCCTGTGGCAAGTTATTGAACTTGGTGTGGCATAGTGTGAATTTTTACCCCGCTTTAAACACTGTAAGGTAAGGCCATGTAGGAGTCGGAACTTCCGAATTTGTAGCCCCCCCCTCCCCCTTTCCAATCTCCGATATGACTGAACCGAGGATACCGAAACTAAAGCCAAACAACCCGTTTAAGATTGTCCCGTTGGTTTGGGATTTGAACTAGGGTCTTCCGCACCGGTTCTCGTTTGTGACAGTGACTGTGTTGTACATGCTTGTATGTCACGATGCATTCTAGTAATTAGTAATTATTTTCTCTTATGCGGCTGTGAGGGCCGTAAAACTCTTACTAAACTATGTTCTCTCAAAGCATTACCGGCATCATTCTGTAGTGTAGCAGTTTGGCGCTTCTTTGTCGCACGCAGAAGAATTTTGTGGGTGGTTGGCGGGTGCTCTGGTGTGGTTTGCTTCTTCTTTCCTATTAAACATCTGTCCTCCTCATCTCCCCTCCTTTTTTATGTATGTTACTCTCTTGTAACACACAATCTATTCTTCAGCAGTTATGCGACCTTATTGTGTTGCAAGTGCCGTAAAACTCGTACTAAAACTAAAAGCTGAAGAATTTGGTTCTCGTGTGAGGAGAATTTTAGTCTAAGTGTCTCCGATGTTCTGCTGTGATGTTGTTTAGATTCTGTTTCTGCCTCGGCTGAATCTGACAGGCAGGAATGAAGCCCGCCTTCTGAATGATGTAACTTGAGTTGATGGAAGTTGTAAAAACACTTGCATATTTAAAACAAAGAAAGTGAAACGAAATGTGTATAGTTGATGGTCGACGTGTTCTGTGGGTATGGTGATATTGTGAAATCGTGCTTGAGCTTTCTTCCCTTTTGAAAATATAAGTATGTGTTTTTACGTACCCATCGACACAATGTAGATAATTTAAATGGCGGGGCTACGATATAACCTTGCCTTTCAGGGCCAACCCGGGCTGAGAGGGATATACAACCATCCCTGCAAGAAGACCGAGATACTCGATAAAACTTTTCTCCATTCGGGAATCGAACATGGGTCCCCAGGGTGCGACGGCGAGGCGCCTAATCGCTCCACCAAAGACACGGGTCATGAGCTTTCAGTCTGAAGGGATTCAAGACTCGCTCGAAAGACTCAGATTTTTTTTAAAGGTTTGTTTTTTGCGTTGTTTTGGTTCGCTTTGTCGAAAACCATTATGTGTCAGATCACTGTGTACCTCCCTCACAGACTTGACTTGAAATGCGCATTGATTTTTTGTTTGTTTGTTTGTTTGGGGGGTTGTTGTTGTTTGGTCAGGTTTGGTGGGGGGGGGGGGGGGGTTCCGCTTTTGGCGTTGTTTTGCTTTGTTTCCATGGCAAAAAGTGACATCACCATTATCACTTTGTGCTCCCTCTTTCCTGTCACAACTATGTGTGTTCCTCTGTGTTGGTGGGTAGTTGGCGGGTGCTCTGGTGTGGTTTGCTTCTTCTTTCCTATGGAACATCTATCGTCCTTATCTCCCCTTCTTCTTTTTTATGTATGTTACTCTCTTGTACGACCTCTAATCTTCGGCACTTATATGACCTTATTGTGTTGCAAGTATCGTAAAACACTTACTAAAGCTAAGGTACCCCCCTCACGGACTTGAAAGAGGCATTGATTTTTGTGTGTGTTGGTTGTTGTTGTTGTTGTTGTTTTTAGGGGGGGGGCTGTTTTTTCGTTGGGTTTGATTTCTGAGGGGGTGGGGGTTCCGTTTTTAGCGTTGTTTTGCTTAGTTTCCATGTCAACAGCTGACATCATCATTATCACTTTGTGCTCCCCTTTCCTGTCAAAAACTACTAAGTGTGTCCCTCTCCGTGTTGTCTCGCCCCCACAGAGGAATCAGCAGCACTGTCCGGCGCGTCACGGAGAAGACCACCAGTATCGAGTACGCTGTGAAGATAATCGACATCTCTGGGGAGAAGGGCGAGGGCCTGCAGGTCGAGCAGACCAAGAAGGACACCTACAGGGAGATTCGAATACTGCGCATGTGCGGCGAACATCCCAATATCAGTGAGTGGTTGTTGTTGTTGGTGTTGTTGTTGTTGTTGTTGTTGTTGTTGCTGTTGCTGTTTATGTGTGTTGGTGTTTTGCTTATTTGTTTGTTTTTGTCTGTTTGTTTGGTGTTTTTGTTTGTATGTATTTTTTTTATGTTTTGTCTTCTTTTTTTGGAGGGGGGTTATAAATTGTTTAGTTTTTTGTGTTATTTTCTTTGTTGTTGTTGTTGTTGTGTTGTTGTTGTTGTTGTTTTTTTGGGGGGGGGGGTTGGGGGGGAGAGTTTATATCAATGAACAGAATTTTTAAAGAAAACTTAAAAACTAAAACAGACCAGGAAGGCAGAAGAGGAGGAACAGAAGAAGAAGATAATTGATAATATTGTTACCATTATTATTGGTTTTTGTTTTGCTGAATCGCCGCCTGTAGTGTAGGGTTTTAGGTGCTTCGCCGTGGCACACAGAGGACATCTCCTTTTTTTCTGCTAGGACCTTGCATCGTCTCCTTCTCAGCCCGGATTGGCACTTCACTAATTTTGAGAAATATTACGTCAAACATCTTGATTGTCACAATATGTCAAGCTTTTTTAATGTAATTCTTTGAATATCTTGATACCGACTCCGCATAATTTTACGATTTTGATAGAAGAGCAGACAGGACATTTGGTTTCTGACCCCAAAACGTAACTCAAAACGGCCAAAAATGAGCGACTTTCAGGCCAGGTCGACAGCGCCCGCCTCTTAAGTGATCTTAATCGTGTTGAAGTGAGTGTAAACCATGTACAATTACTTTTTGCTCTGAGAAAGGGGCTCTCGTGGCGTAGAGGTTAAGGTGTTGGCCTCTCATTCAAAAGTCCCGGGTTCGAATCCGGGTAGCGACCGAAAAATTGTCTTCTCTAAAGTTGTTTCCTTTCACCTCCTTTCCTGCTCTCTGGCAATGTTCTGTTGTCTGCTTTCATTTCCGCTTGCTGCCCCCACCCCCTCACCTCCTTTGCCCCCTCCTCTGGGCTCCTGACTCTTTCTGCAGCCTTTCTACTGCTACTCCTTGGCTCCTCCTTACTGCTGTCTTTCTGCCACGCCTCTGTTCTTCTGGTAGGAAAGATCTTCACCAAGCATTCTCGGACAAGGGCGAAAAATCTCGGAGGGCCCGT